TTTTTTTTTTTTTTTTTAAATAAGAAATACAATCTTATAATCTCATTTAAATATATTGTATATTCATGGTACAATATAAAATATACATTATATCATATTTTATATACGATATATGTATTTAAAATATATAATTTGGGGCAAGGAGTGTCGCGATTTGCACGGATAGCCTAAATCGTGATATGCGATTGGTAATAAAAGATTATATACAATATTTAATATACAAATCATTCATTTTAAAAAGTGCCCCTATTACAATAAACATTTGATTCTATTTTGCAAAAACTCATTTATATTTCGGATTCTTTCAAAAATATCGTAATAACTTACAAACTAAGGCCAGTCGTTACAATTTTACAAATAACATTCATGTACATTGCGAAAGTGGTTTTGTGCCTGGTCAGTTGGAACAATTTTGTTGTAAAATTCGGCTCGCCAGTTACATATGGCTGGCTCATAATCAAAATATACAATTGCTTTCTAAGCAGGGTATTAAACTCATGCAGGATAAATGCTGTTGCCTTATATTTGAGTTTGTGCAGTCAAGCGATGCAAACCAGCGAAGAGAACAAACAAAATGAAAAACGGGAAACAGAAATAGAAATAAAAATAAGCATATAGAACTAAACAGGCCAAGTTAGCTGTAAGCCAGCCATAAGAGACATATCCAAAAATTGTATGTAGCAAAAAAAAAAAAAAACAACAACAAACGAAAAAAAAAAACAGCTCAAAACGAGCGTGCTCTACTTCACGAAGCGCACATTTTAAAGTCCATTCGAGCATTAAATATCTAGACACAGACAACAGCAACAACAACAAGAATAACACGGAATATGGTGCAGCAGCAGAGGTTTGGCCGAGATTTAAGCCGTAAAGGTTTTCCGACCACAAAACCGCCATGCCCATGGCCATTGCCACATCAGCCATAAAGCGTGAGTCAAAGCTCTGCAAAAGCGCTCAAAGGCAGCCGAAGCAGCGTGCGAGCGAGATAGCAATAGACAGTGAGAGAGCCGAAAGCTGAGCGAAGCTGTTGTCAGCTGTTGAGTCGTTGGGCTGAGCCACGTGCGAAAGCTTTTCGCTCGCATTGCGATTGTTTGTAAACAAGCTGAAAGCTCTACAACAGCTGGCTGTAACTGCGTGTCACAGTGGGCTGAATGTGTGCGAGCATTGAATGAAAGAGGGATTCGTTAAGGATGAGATCAATCAATAATAATATATCATTGTATAATAATATTGATGATAATAATTGGTATATTTCTGGCAGCTAAAGTCATACTCATTCATTTTCGCTTCAATGTTGGATTAAGAAATTATGTCAAAATTCAGTTTGCATTTCATTTCTGGTCAACATCAATTTAAATGATGAAAGTGAAATGTGCTCTAATTGAAGTAGAGCGTGAAATACACTCGGATATTGAATGAAATGGTTAATGACAATAATTTAATATAGACAATGGACATATATTAATTCAATTATCAAAGGCAGCGAGCGAATGAAAATTAACTCAACGACACAGACTGAAAATTAAAGTCCAAGCTCGTGCAATTTGAGGTCAATTCGAGTCATAAAACACAAATCGCAGACAAGCGACGACAAGGCACGCGCGTTGCTGTTAGCGATTGTCAAACTGATTGGAATACTTAAATATGTATGTAGAGCTATCTGTGAAATGGAAAGCTGCTGCTGCCCGCATCAAGGGTCTGCAAAGAGAGTTGAGCTGGCCACTAACCTTTCGTCTTCTGCGGGCCATCGGTGCTGTCGTCGTCTTCCGCTTTCTGCGCCACTGTCTACGCTCCTTCGTTTCATTGCCAAATAAGTTCTCGACGCTGCTGTCGCTGTCGCTGCCGCTGCCGCTGCCACTGCCACTGCCACTGCCACTGCCGGGGTCGCTGCTTTGGAGACTCTCCACATCGGAACTGTCACTTGAGTTCAAGTCTYTCTGCGATTTGCCCGCTTCAACGTCGCGCTGCCGCAGCGGTCGATAGTCGGTGGCTTCGCTGCTGCCGACGCTGCTCTTGAAACGCCCGCGAAATGATGACGCTGGCAATGCGGCCATGGATGGCAGCCGTTGCTGCTGCACTGCGTCTGCTCTGGCTGCGCCGCTTGCTCGCCTTCTGCCGTGCACTGAGCCGCGATGCATCGACTGACTGCGCAGCCGTCACATCTAGAAAGGCACTCATGCTGCCTATGAATAATGATAATACTCTTGATTCCCAGTTATGTAATGATGGTTGTTGTTATCGCTGATTTTGCTGTTGTTGTTGTTGCACTCTTTGTCGTTGGCATTGCCGAGACCGCTTAGAGATTCGCTTTATGCACTCCTGAGTTTTCCAACCAATTACGAGTGTTTTCTACCATTTGCTGTATTTGGATCTGCCAAGAGAAGTGGGCGAAAATTTGCATGTGTTGCATTAATTAGGAAATTCGATAGGTGCGCCTACGGTTTTCCATATCTCTGACATGGATTGTTGACTTTATAGCGTATGTACATGTGTATGTTTTAGCAACGGGGAAGCGGACCAGAGAATGGGCCCAGAACATGCTATGAAAAATTGCGGGAAATGAGCCAAGCCAAGACGAGTGAAATACTTTCAAATTGCGGCAAATTCGCTGCTCAGTGGATGCCCAAAGATTTGATCTACACTGCAATCAAAGCTATAATTTCCAAACAAGAGCATAAAGTAAGCAATATTTATCTACAATTTACAAGAACTAATTTAGAGCAAGCAATTATTAAGACTTTAGAGTGGAGCTATGAAAAAACGGACAGTTAAAGAGCACAGAAAGTTTTTACATTTGATTAATGGAAGTATAAAGGGATAAAAATGTACAAATACAAATCTAATAGAAATCGAAGATGAAGAAGCTCTCAAAGATTTACTTTACTACTATATATTATATTATATGAATATTTATTTTAATATATTTTTATGATTAAGACAACTTAAACATTATTGTAATCTTAATTTGAAATCGCGCAAGTGAACTCTCGATTAATCTCCGCCTCTCGCGCTCATCAATTAAATGCGAAAATTTAAATATTCCGTTTAGTATTTTGTTAATTCATGGCTCAATAAAAAATGCAAAAAGAAAATATCAAACGAAAACAGCGGCAAATGAAGCGTCGAATGAAAATGCGAATTTTGCTTGGTTTTCTTTTTGCCTTTAGGCCCGTTGCTTGCAAGTGAAAAGCGTCGGAAAACATAAAAGGCACAAATGAGGAGTAAATTGCGAGTACCGATGCCGCGGCCTCCACATATCGCACATGATGACACAGGTAAACGAGCTCATCTTGTGACAGCAAAACCTTAATCTGCCCAATACCGAGCGATTAATACTACACGTGCATTAACTGATAACATGTATTATTGACTACTAGTGAACTAAAGTCGAATTTAGCTGTCAACTCAAGAAGTATAAATTAGAATGCAATGTCGTAAGTCAAAGTCAATTTAAATAAAGGAGAAACAATATTATAGCCCAATGCAAACGACTGCACAATACTGGTTCATGGATCATATTAAAAATATATTAAAATATCTATAGATATTATTGGTGAGGATTAGTAATCTATTTGGGCTTTAAGCTGTTTCGTCCGACTAGGTAGAGGAAGCTTGACAATTCGTAAAGCTTTTTTGAATTTAAAAAAGAAAACTCCAAGGGAAATATCAAACGAAAACACCGACATAACTGAATTATACAAATTTATGATATAGTTTTATTGAATTTGCACTCTACCAAAAGCTATTCATATGCATGTACTTTAATTCCAAATTCTTTACATATATATTTTTAATTTAAACTAAAATACTTCAAATATCGTATAATAAGAAGAGATTTTATTTTTGTATTATTTTATGTTATATATTTTTTGTAAAATCATTATAATTTATAAGAGGTAAGAAACAAAAAAATAAAGCAACAAATCAATTCTATTATTTGTATAAACAAAAGCATAACTTATTATATTATGTGTGATCAAATGAGAAACATTCCTAAATTGCAGTAGGGAATTTATTTTATTAATTATTGTTAAATATTTATAATAGATTATAGATTAAACATATTTTGTTAATTGGGAATGCAAATGAAAAGGTAAATTTAGAATACTACGGTTATATACAAGAAATACTTCCAAGCTTGCAAATATTTCGGACTGTAATTTCTGCTACTCGGCGGATAAGTTAAGCAACTTATTTTCTCTTTAAAAAATATCCAACGCGTTTGTCAAAAAATAGAGCAGTGTATAAAATATAACTATTCATACAACTTTATTATAGCTTTTATGAGTCTTAAATTAGACTCTTTCAGTTTCAGAGCAAAACCCCCGCAAAGCCAATCAAATTATATTTAAACTTGCAAATCACGATATCTGGATTCTCTGTTAACTCAATGTGTGTCAGCCGGCAAGAAAAGCGTATTGCTCCGCTCAGGAAATGGCTATTAAATGGGCTATCAAAATAATCCATTGCCGCATWCGATAAGCATTTAAATTGATTTAAATTCTTGCTGTGTATTGACGTTGTGGGCATAATAAACAAAATTTTAAATCGATGCCGCCCAGGCACAAGAACAGGCACAGCCCCACCCCCAGCCTCAGGAAAAGCCCCAGAGACAGTGCGCCACACATACGCACGCACACGCACACGCACACACACACAATGACTGACAGATACAGAGAGGGAGCGGGAGACTCTCACCCGGAGGAGCGACTGCACACCATAGCAAACTGTCACATTAGCATATTGAGAACGCAACGGGCCAACAAAAATGCGACTTGTTCTTTGCTTTGTTGTTTGCCAGTCAAGCGGCGATGCCGTTGACGTAGACGTAGACGTTGACGTTGACTCTGACTCTGACGTTTACGTCGAAGTCGACGCCGACGTCGGTGTCGCAGTCGGCTGCGCAACTTTGGCTTGGCCAGCAGATCGTGGCCGAGGCATTGGCTGCGGTATCAGTCGCTTTGCAGACTTTCGCGTGTGCGGTCGAACCGAAAGAGACTGAGTCGGAGAATCAGAGAAGCGCGACAGCCGTTATATCAAAAGAATATCCAATAAGAGGAAAGACAGACAGAAAGACAGAAACGAGAAATTCTGTATGTTTGGGCGCGACTTGTTGACAGTTTGAATTATGTGCTGGACGAGTGTGAAAAGTGAGAAATAGTCCATACAAAACGAATTGGATGCATGTGATTAACATAATTAATAAGTGAGGTGAATGGGTATACACCCGATGAACCAATCTGAAGCCAAAAATCACRAAATATCTACAAGTTGTTGTAACGGTAACAAGAGTTGAGTTGAGTCGAAGCCAGCGTTTAGCTGCCTCATTAAGCTATCATTGCACGCGCGCAACAACAAATCGTTGGCCAACCAGTTAGAGCTGAAGATGCGGCTGCTGCTCCACTTACATCACTGGCCATTAGCATTGGCCATCGCTTCCTGCATTGTCGCCGCCTCAACAAGCACAGCAGCAACAGCAAAAGCAACAACAACACCAACAACAGCGCCAAGTGGGGCCACATCAAGAACGACGACAGCAACATCATCCTCCATACCAGGCAAATATCAGGCATATGGCAGCCAACACCAGCCGAAGAAGCTGCGAGTTGGAATCGGAGCTGCTGGCAACTCCAACGGCAGTGAACCAGTAAACCAGTTCCGGCAAAATCCGATCAAGAATTGGTTTGGCGTCTTCAATCGTAATAATTCGCCAGCGGCTCACAGCCAAACGCCGACATGTTCCTGCAGGTGGGTACAGGTGGGAAAAAAACAGTTCCACTCAAGATTGCAACTGACGGCATCCAGTTAGCCGAGTTAGTTAACCGGCCGCATTTTATTGGGTGTCACTGTCACGGCATACAAATCGCGCTTACAGTTAAAGAGGCAACTGCACGCGATCAGTGCACTCCTCTAGATCTTCTCGAGCATCAGGAAATGTCATCTCTTATGAATATTTATGTAGGTGGCGAGCTTGCCACACACCGTTGCACACAATCCAAACATGGCTCAATAAGTGCCCCATTATGAACCCAACTCAGCTGTCAGCGCTGAGGGCAAGACGAAACTAATGCAAATTATACAAAAGTGGCCTAACGGCAAAGATTCTAGTTTTAGTTCCGACTATACTTATGTTTGGAACTGAGGAAGATCTTATTAATAAATGAGCAAAGGCAGTTGGCTTAAAGGGGTAAAAGTTGGCTAGCATTTCTAATTTCTTCAGCTAATTCGTGTTCTTAATTGAAGGTAAAAATGAAAATTTTAAATTTGGAATGCGAGTATCATATTATTATTCTTTAGTTTTCTGTTGTGCTTGAGCTGAAGCTAAGCAATGAGGAATACAATACAGGCTCATAATTTATAATAAATGGAAATTTTCTTTTCAGTTTTTTTTTTTACTAGTATAACAAAAATCTCCCAACGCGTAGTTAATAGGCCATTAATTAACTTCTATTTAATTTTCCGATTCCCCATAAAATTATAAAAATATTCGAAACTAAAGAAAGATTACTCTGCTCAATGAGATCCACTGGAAAATCACTTAACAGATGTAAGCCCAACATCAGCCTAATATAAAGATTAAATATCACATGATTGTTATAGAAAATTAATACACGAAAATTTCATCAAATTCCCATCAATTAATTAATTTTATTTTGTGTCTAAATGACAGTTAAATTTTTGTTTAAATTTAGAATGCAGCTTAAACCAAAAAGCTGAGCAGCTTGTAGTTCCAATTAGAAAGTAATTTTCGAATACCAATTGGATATTTATAGGGTTTAATCATCCATAGATTGAAATTTCGAGAAATAAAGTGATTTTAACTTTTGATAATGAGAGCAGCAACAAAGAGAATTGCCTTTCTAAATAATGATGTTAGTCTTTATGGCTTTCCATTTTACACATCAAATTGAAAATTAACTCAGAGCTTGGCGCTGCTCTGCACTTGGTTACATTCTGAGGCATACTTGGGGCAAACTCCACCTTTGTGGCTCTGCTACGCTACGCAGTTCTTGACTCTGGAGTTGTCGATTTGAAAGGCATTCCTGAGATGCCTGCGGCAAAGTGCAAATTGCATTGCCGTGGTGCTTTGCGCTGCCAATGGGGATTTGCAATGGGTTCTAGGCTCTCGACATTGGCATTGGCATTGGCATTTTGAAGTACCCCAGGGTATTGATGGAGTCCAAACAGCTTGCATGAATGCAGAGACACTTCACTCCAGGGAGTTCTTAAGAATGCGTTTGTCGGCACACCCAGCTTTGGAATTTTAACGATCGACTAAACTTTTCCAAGAGACTCGACTAGCTCGAATTAGCTTAGGTCAGTTTCAGAGTGAAGTGAAAAAGTCTCTTCCAGATTTTCACTTTTATTTTCGAACATATCAAAATTTATGACCATTAAGACTTCAATACAGATGTTTTTCTTTTTGTAAAGGTTTTCTACTTTTACCCAAAAGAACGAATAAATCCCATTCCTTAGTCACGTAGGCTAACGTCTTCAGCATTTCAAAACTTTGATCGTATAAGCCTCAAACCCGTTTTAGTTCTTCTTTTTGTAGCTTTTATATTTATTTTTACTTTTTTTTGCATATCAAATTAAATGGGTCTGATTTCCATAAGCTTTGATAAGAGCTTTGCCTATTTTAAATATTTCAGTTCTCTGAATTGTATTTATATACTGTATGAGATGGGTAAATATACATATAAACACACATATATAAATTCATATGTATTCAGATATCAGGTAGGGCCCATGCGTCATATGTTCATTGGCATTTAGCAAAGGGAACGTCGCATTCTCTTTGAATTGGGTCGCCGATTTTTATTGTCTTTGTTTTTGCATGTCTCTGGCTTTCGGGACGCCTTCAATTTTGCCTTGCCTTGCCTTKCCTTGGCCACCATTTTTGGGGCAATGACTCGGTTAAGCAACGCCAAAAAAAGATATCAAGCCCGAGATTGTTGTTGTTTTAAGCAGACGATTGATTTGTGGCCAAAAAATATATTTAGTATATAAGTTTGTATAGCCTGACTTTAGAGAACTGGTTGTTCTTCCCCTCTCTGCATCTCTCTCACACACTCTCCCTCATTTCATTTATCAATCTGCCTCTCAATCTCTTTCCATTTCTCAGTGCCTCTTTTGAATGCATTTACTTCAGTTTTTGGCAATTATAAACCAGTTTTATGTAACGATGTCATTTCAAATATGTCGGAAAAACTGCAAAACGAATCAGTTGCACGCCAGCTCGTTAAAGACTTTGACACTTTCTTTGCGGCATTGGTAATGAGGTTTGCTGGGTTGTTGAACTCTGAACTACTCATCGAAGATTGCCTTCAATGAAATGAACATGGAAAATTGAGTTTAGTCTGGAATGAACAGGAAACTAATTCTGCTTCAATTGTGGTGCAAATCAAAGTATTATAGAATCAGGAAAATAATTATATAATAAGTGTTGGCTGGGAAATGTATTTTGATTAAAGCATTGTTCATTATTAAATATTCATTATTCAATTTAAATATTTGTTTTAGAGTTATGTTATAAATTGCTTTATAAAATATTGTGTTCAGTCTGCAAAATTTATTCAGTAAATTCTCTGATATGTAACGACAAAAGCTTGAATCTCTTTGTGTTAGGGCTTGCAAAAAAAAAAAAATAGATACAAATTGTTACTACATGAAATACAAAAAATTAACTGAAATACATCTGAAGCCTTTAAGTAAAATGTCATTAAGGGAATATTTTATGTGTATGGACGACTTCACTTGCCTATTATTTACCTATATTTCTTTTATTTTAAAAAGTTTACATTAAAACACTACAAAATCTTATTCGTTTCATGCAATAAATTTAAATTTAATAAATACACTGGGCGCCGATAGGAAGGTTTAGTGAGACGATGATTTAGATTGGATGATTTAAATAAGTATAAACAGATTATGTAGTTTGTGTTTAAGGACATTGACTTATATGAGTCARTAAAGAAGGCGTGGTTCGGGCGGCCTTCAGGCTTCATACATCCTACAAACGGTGTGTATCTACTATTCTAATTATGTTAAAATGCAGTGCATTGGAATCTAAATGAACTCCTAAATTAGATAACAGTCTATGCTCATGACTTAAGATGACCTTCAATAATTTGGTTTAGAATTTAGATTWCTGGCCTACAGTGCTAAGTCAGTATGACTACCCATCTTCAATGCTTATCATGCCTTACTAGTGTAGAGAATTGAACTGCCAAGAGAGTTTGGTGCAGTCGGTCGCAGTGCACTCAATTGTCAGCAGCTTGATGGAGTGGATGACAAACATATATAAWATACTGARGTCCGCTCACATTCTGTGCTTTTCGACTGTTGCAGGTGCGGGGAGCGCAACGACGAGTCGAGGATCGTCGGGGGCACTACAACTGGCGTCAGCGAGTATCCCTGGATGGCCAGACTGAGCTACTTCAATCGATTCTACTGCGGTGGCACGCTGATCAACGATCGCTACGTGCTGACGGCGGCGCACTGCGTCAAGGGCTTCATGTGGTTCATGATCAAGGTGACTTTCGGCGAGCACGATCGTTGCAATGACAAGGAGCGTCCGGAGACGCGCTTTGTGCTGCGCGCCTTCAGCCAGAAGTTCAGCTTCTCCAATTTCGACAATGACATCGCCCTGCTGCGCCTTAACGATCGCGTGCCGATCACCAGCTTCATCAGACCCATCTGCTTGCCCCGCGTGGAGAAGCGCGACGACTTGTTCGTGGGCACGCGTGCCATTGCCACAGGTTGGGGCACGCTCAAGGAGGACGGCAAGCCCTCGTGCCTGCTGCAGGAGGTGGAGGTGCCAGTGTTGGACAACGACGAGTGCGTGGCCCAAACGAACTACACACAAAAGATGATCACCAAGAACATGATGTGCTCCGGCTATCCGGGAGTGGGCGGACGCGACAGCTGCCAGGGCGATTCGGGAGGTCCTCTGGTCCGCTTGCGGCCCGACGACAAGCGCTTCGAGCAGATCGGCATCGTCTCCTGGGGCAATGGATGTGCGCGACCCAATTACCCAGGTGTCTACACCAGAGTCACTAAATATCTCGACTGGATTGTGGAAAACTCAAAAGATGGCTGTTTCTGCGACGAGGATTACTAAACGTTCGAATTCTCTTTCAATTTAGTTCTAGTTCTATATTTAGTCTTAATGCTCTATATATATATAAATATTTTGTACTTTTATACAGAGAGATAAACACGAAAAAACAACTGAATAAAATTATAATATACTTAGTATACATCGTAAAAAAGAGAATTCTGTTGAGGAAAATTAATCTAGTTGTTCTTGACCTCTTTGGAAATGTAGTATTCGTGTAGATATTGTAATTCCTTTATTATACTCATGTCCTTCTTTTAATATTTTTAAATACTCGTTATAATATTTACGCTTAGCATGATTTTTGACAAAAATAAGATACACGCCATCAAAGAAGTCACACAGAAGTATTTGGTACGAAGTATTTTCTAGTCGTGCTTTTCGCTCTTCAGGGATACAACAATATCAGAAAAGCAGAACCCTGCTTGGGCAATTTTCAACTGCTTGCCACGCGTCTGCTTGCTATAAACACTGCTTGCATTCGAAATTTTCTTATTCAGTTTTCCTTTACATATTGTAATTCATTTACAATATAATATAGCAACGAAAGAATTAAAGTAATAAAATAACTAAATAAATATTATGCATTGTATATTGGCCACTATATGTATCCAGCTATCAGACTCAATCCCTATTATGATGAAATAATATAGCACCGGAATGTTCTTCAGAATCTATTCTGTTTTGAAAATGCAAAGGAAATTCCAAGGTTATTTCTTAAAGAGAACAACTATGTTAACCAAATACCTCGTAGACAATGGTGTGTTTCATGATTCCCATACTACTCGTTGAATACTCACTGTATAATATTCCTAACTACCAGTCGAAGCCAATCTTAGGCACATGGCAAACATACACAACACTTACATATAAGAGCAGCTGAGCTTATACTAACATAACAAACAGAAGCGCTCACATTTGACTTTTSGATACGGTGTCTGCGCCAAAAAAATGAAAGAAAAAGCAAATAACGATGAGGAGTATCGAAAAAAGCTGTTGCTGCTGCTGCTGGAAAACTGGTTTCACCTTGCTGAAACAGTTGTGAATATACAGAGCCTAAAGCCAGAGACATCTAGCATTTGTACTAACTACAAAGAGCATCAGAGCAGCAGCAGAAATCTCTAAAGAGTTGAAATGAAGAGGAGAGCCCAATAAATACGCTTGCTCAAAGTAAACTCGTCGAATTAGTTTACTTTTGGTATTTCGCCTAATTGCCAAACAGAACTCGGAGTGAATCACTCCCAACGACTTGAAAGTCTGAAGTACCGAGAGCCAGATAGTATCACTGATAACAACACTATATTTAGCCCACTCTGTTGCACTAATGGCCACTTTGAGGTAAAAAGCCGCGTCTCAGTTAATTTAATGGCAATGCAGAGATTTTGTCATTTGCGTAATTCACTTGCAACTCACTTGCGTAATTGTTCAATATGAAAATGAAGATTCGCGCATTCGCAAGATACTTTTGTATCTTGTTGTCTTTTCTACTGTCGCCTTCCAGGTCTCTTGGCCTTTGCAGCAGCAGCTTGTGGCAACTTTTTGACTTTTTCTTTTGTAATTGTCGTTCGTTTTCAACGAGCTTATAGTTTTCTTGTTTTTCGTCGCTTTTCGCTGCCAGCAGCTGTTGTTTACCGTTTGCCGCTCGCGCACCCACTGAAAAAAAAACACAAGAAAAAGCCGCCATGCGTTGATCGCTCCCAGAGATTGTTTGGAGCATCGTCTCGGGTGCTGCTCACATGCTCAGCTGCTCAGCTGTTGAGTTTATATGTAGTTGCAAAATTATTGTAACTCCTCTCTCACTCGCTCTCGACCTCTCTCGCTCGTTCGGTCTATCTGTCTCCGGCAGAGTTTAGTAGGCCTGTATTATATGAAGTAGTCAAATGACATTTTGTACACAGGCCGACGTAAATTTGTTTACATTTAACATTTGTAAATCAACTTATATTTTATTTGAGGATATACTCAATTTTGAACTTACCGATATCATGTCTTCGCCGGATAAAGAGGAAGTCGCCAATTCTGACGACAGTCAATTGCCAGAGATTGACAATGATCTACAGCTGGCCGCGACGCCCTTAAATGGGGATATTTTTGCAGAGATTGACAAACGCTTGGGCTTGCTGTTGGAACGGGCCAATAAGCTGGAGAACACGCTGAATCAACTTAATGGTAAATGCATGAGTGAGAATCAGAATCTGGAACTGGACCTAATTAAGGATGTGGGCGATGATAATCGCTTTGAAGATGACAGTGATTTGACTGGATCTGACAGCTTAGATCCAGATTCATCAGATACCAATGCTGCCATTGATGCCCTTTCTGAGGACCTTCAGAAAATACATCTGGACGAACACGAAGATTAGTTACAGCTGGGAGCTATACAGAAGTACATTGCGAAAAGAATTTCAATCCCCACATACATGCACACCAAATACTTTCCACTAAACATTAGAGAGAAAATTCGTTATCAATGTAAACTAACTACGTTATTGTTGTGATTTGCTAATGTAAAATTAGGCTCATCGATTGCTCTGGTGGCGCCATCTATGAGTTAATTTCCGTATTAAAAAGAGTTACAGCTTGCCAGCAAACTATATGCATACTGCTTGTCGCTCCCTCATAAGCTTTGCAATATAGCTCTGTTTCGAAGAAGCTCCACAGAAGAGCACAAGACTTTCCGCTGGGATCTATGTATTTATTTGTTTGTATACATACCCTCAACCTATTAGAACGAGGCAGATAAAATATAGCTATATATATTCTTTATCTTTATCGGCGGCGAAGAACTAAAGCGATTTAGACTTGCCCAACTGTCTGTGTCGATCTCAGAGCTTGAAAGAGCTAGAGTAATGCAACTTTGTTGTAGGCCCCTGTAAAACAAACTTAAAGCGAGTAATTTTTTATTGATCATATTTTATACAATTTTTGTTTTTGTTCTATTTTGGATATCAACCCCAAGTCATCTTGATAATTTGTACATTGTACATTGTACATTCATAGGTCTTATTATATTTTCATCATTAATCCATACACATGTCACTGTTTGCTTTTTGTTTACACATATTTATCGTATTCAATTCATGTTTCACCATACCACAATATTTATTTGGGTCGGCAGTTTTGTCTCACAGATAAAGTTGCATAGGTGAGAGCACCAGATGTCGTTATAAAAGAATTTCTTTCCATAATATGCCACCAGCTCTACGCAATGTTCCCTCTTATAGCAGTTATTTGGCTACCCATAGCCCCATCTTGTAATGTTGGGTTGCTGGCCGCTAGTAAAGGAAATAAATGCGGAGTTAGTGGAAAGATTTGTTAAGCTCATCCAATAGCATCGTCTTGTGCTTAATTTTAATATAACAGCATCCAGATCATCTTTATTTTCAAATGTGACCAAATTCGCACCTAATTCCTGGTAATTGTGCAGAGCTTCGAACCAAGTTACTCTTCTCCTTCTTTCTATATAGAAATATTTTGAGTTCACTTTTAGAAAAGGCTCAACATCCGCATCAAAATTATTTTCAATTTCCAGTAAGTGGCTCAGTACATGTTGAGCCAATTCAACAATTCAGCACAGTTGCAGAACAATAACTAATTTAGGTTAAACAATCTCTGAGACCTAAGCTTTACCTTCAGGGCTGCCATCCACATCTGTTCTTAAAAATAGAGAATTATTATTTTATTCCGTTGTACTCTAAAGCCTATTTATGATAATTAAATGAATTGCACATTAGCTCAAGAGTTGAAATTTGCTATATGTAAAAAATAAGTACTGTAATTAATTAATAGTTATAATTTCCTCAAAGTTTCGACAGCTCTGTGGAAAAGAAAACAATGGTTAGTGATATTGTACGTAAACGTAAAAAAAAAAAATTCCAGACTTTATTTCTGAARTCGTGTGGATATTTATAGTGGAACTAAATAACCATTAGCTATCGACTCACATTAATTAGAAATTAAACTGTTCTTTGTATATATTCCATTCCTAATTTAAAACGAGCGACAAGTCACGAAGTTCTATATACTAAGAAATTTGAACTGGAAATGAGTCATATTAAAATTATTATTTTATTACTATTAATTCTTAAATGTAGTATCATTTATTATATTGTGCCAGAATAACGCATATTAATTTATATCCTAATTACTATTTATTTATTTATTGTTACAAAAAAAATAATTCTAAATAACAAGCTTTAAGCCAGAGCAACGAAGGCCTTCAGGCGCCTACTTACAAATAGTAACAACATATGTGAAACTACAAGATTTAAAGATTTAAAGGCGGTCCATTCTTTTGAATCAATTGTGACGTCATATTGATATTGACTCACAACTGCTCGCGCAAGCAGTGCTAATCGAAACTGCTTGACTTTCTGACAAGCAGTTTTATCAGCTGATTGTCAACAGCACGCTTTTATTTTTGTAGATATTTGAGTAGGCATCTTTTTTTATAGTTCCCAATTTTTGTTGAATTGTATGAAAATTGTTTAAAGTTGAAATGTTTGACAAACTCAACGACGATTGCTGGCTGACCATCCTTAAATATGTGAATCTTAAAGACCAAGTGAGCCTGGCGCACATCTCCAAGAGTCTGCGGTCTGTTGTTCGGTACCAGTGGGAGCACCTCAGGGTCGCCTACTTGGACCAGGCTCTGCTAGAACGTTTCGAGCAGCAGCCAAGCGAAATGGAGGAGTTCCTCCAACTCGCCAGTAGTTCGCTGCAGAATCTGACAATCAAGCAAACTGATATTGCGCTACTACAGAAATGGAGAGCGTATGAATTTCCTAAATTGGTGACGCTCGACTGTGATCTGGGGTTTGAGAGCGAAGAGGAGACCGACGAGAAGGTGTTATTGTTGACGCAGCTCTTTCCGAATCTACGCCAACTAACACTACTTGGCAACACTACTGGCCGACACATATGGGCCTGGGATCAGCTGCAGGAACTGAACCTACTGTGCTGCGAGAGCCTGGACACGTCCACATTTGAGCAGATTTTCAGCGCCATTCCGTTGCGCAAGCTCACTCTGCTTTACTACGGGTACAACACGAATATGGGTGACGATGTGCTGCCCATATCGAAGTGCTCTACGCTGGAGGAGCTTGTCATGGATGATCATCACCTGCTGGGCGACTTCATGCCCAACCTGCTGCAGTTGCCCCGCTTGCGTCGTCTGGCCTTTTATACCCGCGACTATTACGAGTATCTGCTGGAGACGGTGAGCAAGCTACGACCGCTCAGAGTGAAGGCGTTGCTCTTCCACGACGCCTTCTGGAGCAGCTCGTGCGTGAGCCAGGTCATGATGAGCATGACGAATCTGCGCCGTCTTGTGCTGCACGACGACGACATCGAGACCAAGGAACTGCAAAAAATCTGCGCCACATTGCCGCAGCTAGAGGAATTGCATTTGACGAAAATGCGTGCACTGCCAACGGCTACCCAGCTGTGGGACATGGTTGGTGCCAGCCAATCCCTAAAGATTCTTAACCTATCGGGCAATCGGTTGAATAGGCAGTTCTTGGATCTGAGCAGTGAGTGCTTGGATCGAGTGTTGAAGAAGCGGAGTATATCCTCGCCCCTCACACTTCACCTGCACAATACCTTGCTGAAGTGCGATCAAACTGAGGTAAATAGATCAATAGCAATGGAATAGGATCTAATATTTGTGTCTATATGTGAATTTTTCTATTCCAGATACTCAAAAAGCTAAAGCATCCAAATTTGGAAGTCTCCTTCCAGCCCATCGATTTGAATGTCTGGAGCTCTCGATTTGTGGAGATTGAATTTAATATTCACACAGACTAAGTTCTTCGTATCTGTAATTAATTTCGAAAAGTGCCTTTTGTGATAAATCCAAAATAGCAGTAGAGCTAACAATAAATATCAGTTCGGTGTAATACCAGCCGAGTTATATAGGAGGTAAAATTTTGCCTTTACGTTTTAATGCGCTTCTCAATGAATTCATCTTTTTCACTTTAATATTCTATTCAATGTTTGTTCACTGTTGTATTTGCGTTTAATACATACATACATAAAAATAATACAATTATTAAAAATTATAAAAA